ACTTGAAAATGGGGGGGGGGGGGGGTTAAGATGTATGCAAACCTGACCTCTACCCTAAAGAGTAGAGCGGTTGTTTCCCTAAAGACCCCCAGCTGGTGCAAAGTGTGAGAAAGGGAGACAAACAGATTCACTAAACATTGAAAAGTTAGATATGAGTAAGCAATAGCAATGCAAATAGGAAAAGAAATAGAGGGAGAAATATTCTAAATTTTCAAAAGGTTGATATGAGTAAGCAGCAGCAGTATAAATAGAGGCCAGTACAGAAGAAACATAACCAAGGTGTGGAATCTAACTTAGGTTTCAACTTTACATGACAGCACAAAAGAAAATCATGTCATCATCCAGTACCTCTATTTGCACATTCACTGATCTTAGATGGTCATCTGCAACGATCCGAATGTTTGCAAGAGAAAGGTGGCGGAGTTGGTGCAAAGGCAAAATTTCAGGAAGAAATTCAAGTGGATTACCAAATAGCCTAAGAACACGTAACTCGGCCATAGCCCTGCATAGAAAGAAAAAAAATGATAAACATTAGATCTCAACTGAAGAATAGGTATAGCCTTTACTGTACAAGGGGCAGGTCCAAATGAGAACCGTAAATATTTTGAGAACATGGGAACCAACTGTTCATGAATTATTCATGATGAATAACATTGATGATATTTTAGGGTTATTCATCATGAATAATTCATGAAATAGTTGGTTCTCAGGTTCTCAAAAAAATTACGATTCTCATTTGAACCTGCCCATATTGTACAATATATCACAATGAGGTGGGATAACTTGGCATGTTGAATGAACGACCTGAAATCAAGAAGAGGACAGACTAGCTTATTGTGTTCAACTGATAATTCCACGAGTCCAACGCACCGCCTGAGTTCAACTGTTTGTTGTTCAAACAAAAAAGGTACATGTCACAAGCTGTAAATCTGTCCTACACCTACATAAATTGCAAATAACTTCTCAGGAAGTTGCAGGGAGAATGATATCACTCCAGAAGTGGGAAAACTGAAATAAGAAATGGGAGCATAAATACAAGCTTACCTGGTACTGAAATCAATATGTTGTAGTCCACCGTGAGCACTTTAAGGTTTTTCAAATCACCAAGTTCAGAGGGCAAATTTGATAGCTTATTGTTATCAAGAAATAGCTTCTCAAGAAGTGGCAGTTTAGTCAACTCTACTGGAAACATCTGTCGATTGGATCAATATTTGAAAACTGATTAGCAAATTGCACTCTCATCTTCAAACAGCAACACTCTTAGGTTTAACCTCTACCATTAAACTAATAATACATATATAAACCAAACAAACAAACCGAGTAAATGTCACTCGTAATAATACATATATAATACAACATCATTACCTCCATTATAAAGACCCTAATGTTGCAACGGAAAACCCTTTCACTAACAATATCTAGTGTCTTTCCATTGTATCCATATCATAAGACTCATAATTGTGTTTACATGTCTATAGTGTAAAGGAATTCAAATTACAGCATTCAAAAGTACATAGAGCACATAGCTTGCTTTAGCAATTTTAATTTGAAGTTTCATCCTTCATTAGTAGATTTAAAACTCCATCTTTAGGCTATGTTTGGCAAACAAGACGACAAGCTAGATGTTGGGTGATAAGCTAATTGTTAGCTGAAAATCTAGTTGTTGACTAACAAGCTAACTGATAGAGTAGTTATGATTGGTAACAACTAGTTGATAGGCTAGATACTAATGTAAAATGGCCTAAAAGAAGACTTTGAAAAATTTATTAGAAAAATATAAGGAGCATAATTGTAAAAAATTGAAGAACATGCCCGGGAGCTTATCGAAAAGCTGCTTGAATACCCAACAAACATTCAACTAGTATTCTTGGCAACCCATATGAAGACATCTGCGGCTATGGATACGTTCTACCTATAAATGAAATTCCAAAGATTATGATTTTCCTTAGAATCTAGGGGTTCTTTACAGCTATCTTTATATAATTACACCTTAGAGCACAAGCAACAGATGAAAGATATATATTTTTCAAGAAGAATGAGAAAACTTACAGACAAACCACAACTATAGACGCTGACAACAGTAACGTTCATCCAATGATCAGCACAAATTCTCATTCCCAACCCACCAGCATTACCCGCACCGGAACCAGACTCAGCTGCAAAATCCGATTTCAGCAACTTAGTAAGGACACCCATCCCATCATACTGCTGGCTAGAACCTCCAACTCGTGACATGGCCACTGCCTTGAGTGGATCCCTCTGCTTCACAACCTTCATGCGCACACCCACCAAATTTCCAACGCCATCTCCGAAGTGACCCGACTCACTGGAATCATCACATTGCCACAAATTGATGACCACCGTATCCTGCGGCAACGGCAAGGCTACCATGACCTGAGACTGAAGCCTCAACGCAACCTGAACATCGTCATCGCCGGCATTCCAATCGAGATCGATTCGAAACCCTAACTCTTGATCGTTACAAATATGGTTGTCTTTTGACGATGACTCCGACGATGATCCCGAAGAAGGTGGTGGCGATGAAGAACGATTTTGATCATCTAACGCTTCCTCCGTACCATAATACAAAGACAGATGAAACACATCAGATGGCCTCTTCCAACCTAATCCCCACGACATTATTAACACAAAATTTCCCTCATGCACAAATGACAATCATCCATCAAATTTTGATTATTTTAACAGCATTTCGTGGTTTAGAACAATTGAATCGAAGAAACGTAGAGCTTAAGCGATGCATTTGCAATCTATGGTCTCGATTATTGAAAAATCTGGGGAAATTTTCAAGGATCAAAGGATGATACGACACAAAACCGCCATGGCAGCAAAGTTGCTCAGCGACTTCGTCTAATAATTTCTGAAGATCTTATTGGTACGTTTAAAAGTTCCAAAAATAGTCCTTGTACTATCTCTAAACCTACACTTTTGGTTACGCATCTCCATCCTTTACTTTTTCTAAAACCACCCGCACCAATGCTGCGGGTAGGGCGGTAAACGAACCGAACGAATACGAACGGAAGCTTATTCATGTTCGTTCGTTTAGAAATCAAGTGTGTTTGTGTTTATGTTCATTTATGTTCGTTCGTTAACATGCTAAACAAACAAACATAAACGAACGGGATAAACGAACATAAATAAATATTATTTGAATTCAAAGTAAATAAATAAAAGATTATATATTAAATTTGATATATAAACGAACAAATATAAACGTCGTAAACAAACGGTAAATGAACGAACGTTCACGAACATAAATGAACAAACGAGACTCTTGTTCATGTTCGTTCGTTTAACTAAACGAACAAAAAAAATTCGCATTCGTTCATTTATTAAATAAACGAACATAAACGAACTTCCCGCCGAACAGTTCACGAACGGTTCGTTGAACGTTCAGTTCGTTTACGGCCCTACTGCGGGGTGTAAAATTCAAAAAATTGCAAACAAGCATCGATATGTTTTTAGTAAACAAAAACACATACTTGGATATATCTTACGAAGAGTGTACTAAAACATGTACATACCAAGAAGGAACATCCAAGAACAAAGGATTTTTAGCCTAGTGATATATGAGTCTCAAACTCATGACCGTTTATGGGGGAGGGCGGGCAGGCGGGTCGGGCGTACGTCTAGAACCCATAAAAATTAGGGGCCCAAATTTTTTTTACTATCGATTGTTGTGTTTATGCATCTTTTAAATCTTGTACAGTTGGCGGGTTTAACCGCGATAGATGGTTGGTCGACCGCGATAGATGGCGGGCCGACCGCAATAGTTGGCGGGTTTAACTGCGATAGATGACGGGCCGACCGCGATAGTTGGCGGGTTTAACTGCGATAGATTTCGGGCCAGCCGCAATAGTTGGCAATATTTTCTAACCATTGAGATTAGAACTGAATTCATTAACTTGTTTTTATCTATGTGATGTGATGAGTTATTTCAGAATGTATGAAATGAGTTATCGGGTTATTTGGTATGAGAAATTGGTAATGTCTCATCTTTTTAGATATGATGAAAAATGTTTGTTATATCAAGATGTATATTTGTTATTATTACAAATATAATTTAATAAATATCTTTGGTGATTATTCACCCTGTTATAGTAGACAAAGAGGGAATCACTCACTAGATCTTTCAGTCTAACCCTTGTTTTTGTGTTTTAGATGGTGCATTACAGGTCAAGTAACCAGATGTTAAAGAAAAGGAAATTTATGATGAGATTATATGATTGCCTGCATGTGGATAATTGAGAAGATAAAATTTTGATAGCTACTTTTATAATGTAGTTTTTGTACATTTGGGTTCGTATGTGTAAAGTAAAGTTGTATTTCTTGTTATATGAAATACGTGATGATATGCAAATGTTGGGAGCCGAGGGTGTTACATTCAGACTAACATATGTTAAATAGGTCCATTTAGCTCACGGTTTTTTTTCCATCTTTTTAATACATTCTGTCTTTTACCTGTTATATTTTATTAAAAAAATATATATTCTTTCATAAACCTCAACCTGCTGGAACCTATATCTTCTCAGGCCAAAAGTCGTGTTCCTCTGCCAATCTTTTTCGGTCAACAAATGATACCCACAAATCATGTTCCCCTTTAAATCGAATACTTGGAACAAACTTCAGATTGATACGTACCAACTGACGTAGGTGTTTCAAAAAATGCTATATTTTAGGACCCTTTCAAACTTTAAAAACTCCAATTGGGGGATCGAAGTTGTAGTCGTTTGAACTCCTTCATTAAGGCTACTCTGGTTATTTAATTCAGAACTTTGGTTGATCCATTAGACTTTGAATTTTAGTGCTTCAAATATTTTTAAAATTACATTTTATACTAAAAATTACACTCTATACCCTTTTTTTAGTATAAAGTGTAATTTAAAAAAAAATATTTTTTCTAGTATATATGATATAATAATATAAAAAATATTAAATATTCGACTCATTTCAAAGAAATTGACTAAACGATTATAATTGTGCAACTTATTAAAATAAAAATGTATTTTAGTTAATATACGATTATGTATGTTAATGTGATAAAAACGTAGAATGAAAAATGAAAAAGTAAAATATCTAAAACAATTAATTAAGTAACTTTAAGGGTATAAAATGCAATTTTTTTTTGATATAATAATATAATTATATAAAAAAATATTCAATATTGAGGTCATTTTAAAGGTATGGACGAGACGATTATAATGATGTAACTTATTAAAATAAAAACATATTTTTTTTATAATTTTAATGTGATAAAAATGTAAAACAATAAATGAAAAAACAAGGGATGTAAATTAAATTAATTAAGTAATTTTAAGGATATAAATTGTATTTTAAAGCTAAAAATAATATTATGTTATGGAACACAAAGTTCACATAAATCATTTGACAAAAACTCTTAAAAACATTTTTTATGCATAAAGTACCATTTGTTGATGCATATTACTTACAATTCAAGATCATAAGTAAATTGTGTGTAAATACAACTTATTAACGTTTCATTTTTAAAATTGTATAACTAACTATAGATAAACATAATCAAATATGAGATAGACATCTCATTTTGAATATAAAAATCTAAAATATAATTAGAATAATCATTAATTATAACAGAATACTTAATTACTATTTTTATAAAAATTATATTGTTAAATGATAAATAAATTATTGTGTTATTAAATCTAAATAAAATATTGAATTAAATAAATTAACAAAAAACCAGAACTTTAAATACTAAATTTGATACTAATATCGACATATAATTTTTTTTCCAAATTTTTATGGTATATTTGAATTTTTATTTTATTCAAAAATAAAAACATTATCGCTTTCCAAAATCACTAAAAACCATATTATATCAGTATAAATAAATAATAAAACGAAACATTACAATTGAGATATATCTCGCTATATTATGCAAGCACCCTTCTGATTATAAATTAGAATATTCTTGTCACCGGTATAAAACCGTTTATCCAACATTCAAAACTACTCATTTGTAACAAGATGGCAACTGTCCTTTCGCATTATCATCCGCTTCCCACCTTCCACTCCAAAAAACACAATCACTCAGAAATGGCGACGGTTTCATCACTGCCATGGATTCCAAACTACCAGAGCTTTGTTGTCGCCCCTGCCACAATACAGCGAACAATATCTGTGGCCACCATCCCCCACCCCCGCCACAAAGGCACGAGATTTTGCGGTTCAATTTGGGATTCCAACATCTATTCTTACCAGAAAAACAATTGCAGAGCCTTCGCATCTGTTTCTGAGGCTTCTCTATCTACTCTCAAGTCTATACGGTACTCCATCTCCTTTTCTTTCTAAACACAGAGCATATATTTACTACTGGCTAGGTCATTTGATGTAGTTAAAATCTAGCGATGCTCATTACGGAATTCGAAAGAATGGGAATGGAAATGGCAATTGCATTGTTGCTATTTGTAGAAATTGAAGAATAAAGACAACTTACAAGTTATATCGAACACTTGGTGTGGATTATTTCAGAACCCAATCAAGATATCAAACTAATATCAAGTAATCAACACTTTGTTATCAAATTGAACTAAAAATTACAACAAATATTGGTGTATCCTCTAACACCAATTACTCAAAACTTCATTACTATTTCTTAACCCACACTACCATAAAAAATGCAATCTTTCACACTAAATTTGTTCGGATGCCCATGGAGAAAAGCCAAAAAGATGCCCCTTGTATATGCATATGAGAAACAAAATAAACTATTTGAAGGTCTTTAGAACCTATTCAAGCTAGACGGCCCATCCCCATGCCGATTTTTATTAAATATAGCAAAAATTATACAAAGGGGCTGACATAAACCAAACCCCGTGTAGCAAAACATAAAATACGTCACTTAAAATGATGCCTTCTACGTTTTTTGAAGCAAAAATATCAATCACTCTATCATAGGTAATATTTGCTAAAACCTTATTCTCAGTACTCAAAATTGCTAACTTGTTCAACCTTTCTTGACTCATGGTAGACTACAGATATAACTACAACAACTTTAATTTTGAAAATCTTCTTTCTACAGATGCTATAGTGACGGGTACGGTCAGCAAAATCTTGTAAGCAAGCAAGACATCTGGAAACATGTTCATCTTCTTTGCAAACTCCATAATTTGTATGGATGTCCAAGGATTTTCCTCTCGGATGCCTTTTCCGGTAACATTCTCTTCAAAACTTGTAACTCCATAAACAAATACTGCCCATCGATATCAGAATCATCATCATTTGTTAAAACAAGTTTAAGATTCAAGCAACATTTTTTCAACAAGAAGCCAAAAGTAGATTCAAATATTCTTTCATTTGTTCAAATCTAGTCCGTAATTGAGAAAGAGCCATATCAACTAAAACAAGAAACTAATCAATTCTAAATGTTTCTTGAGTAGATTGTTGTTCTCTCTCGGAATTTGGAATGTCATCAAATTGTTTTTTTCTGGAAAAAGAATGTTTTACAGCAAATCCGTGCTCAACTCCAATATTATCAGGATTTCTTTAGCTTCACTTATAGCATGTAAATCCATTTTTTTATATTTGTTAGTTGTAAATAGCTATAGCTTAGGGATCTGTATGTAATTTATTATTGCTTATTAGTCCCTCTCTAATCCTATAAATAGAGGGCTCATCTAGTCTTGTA